TTCTTTTTAGTTTTACTTATAACTCTAGTACTAAGTAATCAAGTTTTTAAAAAAGAAATTCAAAGACTATTCATTAAAAAATTCAAATTTTCTACTAATAATGATTTAATGTACATTATCTAGTAAAAAAAAAGTTCATTATTTTCCTTACAAGTGTACGTTAAAAGTCCTGTCAGGGCTTCCCTGGTGGCTCAGTGGTTGAGAGTCTGCCTGCCGATACGGGGGACGCGGGTTCGTGCCTGGGTCCTGAACAATCCCACATGCCGCACAGCGGCTGGGCCCGTGAGCCACAGCTGCTGAGCCTGCGCGTCCGGAGCCTGTGCTCCGCAACAGGAGAGAAAGTCGAGCAGGACTGATGTCAGTCTTTTTGTAGCTGAATCTCAGAAGTGACATTCCATTATGTTTGCCATATCCTATTTGTTAGAAGCAAGTTATAGGTTCAGCCCATACCCAATGGGAGGGAATTACACAAGGGCATGAACCAGAAGGTGGGGATCATTGGGGACCATTTTAGAGTTTGCCAAGCCCAAATATGATGAATTATATTTGTCTTTTTTGTTATTTAACTCCTCCACTTTCTCCTACTCCTTCACTCTGCATAGATGCATTAGCTAAAAAGTGTTATTTTTCCACTTCAGGAAAGCCAGAGGACTCCAGTAAGCCCTGAGAAAAACTAATAAAAATGTTCTATATTCTGAATAGCTTCAATGTAAAATTTCAGTGAGAAAGAGATAAATTCAGTGATCATACAGTCATCATAGATAATTATGGGAACTCTGGACACAAATTTCATTAGCAGCTATCAAGTTCTTGGAATTAACACAACATTGTAAATCAACTATACTTCAATAAAAAATAAATTAAAAAAAAGAAAAAATATTTTAGAAAAAAGGTCTTGGAGAAAACATTACCAGGCTCTGCCACCAACCACTAGTATCACCCTCAAGGAGAATTCTAGCCTGGATCGTCATGTCAGAAAAGTATGCATGGCTCAGGGAATGGTAGACTCTGTTGCCAGCTCTGCTGCATGAATCACCTGGGTAAGCTACTTACCCTCTTTGAGCTTTGGTTCCCTCATCTGTAAAGTGGCTGTGATGGGTGCCTGCTCTGTCCACTGTCCCAGGAGTCTTGTCATTTCTTGCAGTGATACATAGGAAGATTCAATAAATGTTTTGAAAAACTGTAAAGTGCTGATGAATGTGAGGCATCATTATCACTTTGTTCATCATTAGATCTAGGAATATTTTTTCTTATCAGTGGGCATTACATTTTACAAGCTCAGAAAGCATCATGGAAAGCCCCATTACTTTCTTTCTTTCATTTTTTAAATTTATTTTATTGAAGTGTAGTTGATGTACAATGTTGTGTTAATTTGTGCTGCACAGCAAAGTGATTCAGTTATACATATATACACATTATTCTTCATATTCTTTTCCATTATGGTTTAATCACAGCATATTGAATATAGTTCCCTGTGCTATACAGCAGCACGTTGTTGTTTATCCATACTATATATAATATATAGTTTACATCTGCGAATCCCAAACTCCCAATCCATCCCTCCCTCCAGCACCACCACCTCCCCACCCCCAGCAACCACAAGTCTGTTCTCTATGTCTGTGAGTCTGTTCCTGTTTCATAGATAAGTTCACTTGTGTTCTATTTTAGATTCCACATATAAGTGATATCATATGGTATTTGCCTTTCTCTTTCTGCTTACTTCACTTAGTATGATAATCTCTAGGTCCATCTAACTTGCTGCAAATGGCATTATTTCATTCTTTTTATGGCTGAGTAGCATTCCATTGTATATATGTGCCACATCTTCTTTATCTATTCATCTGTCGATGGACACCTAGGTTGTTTCCACGTCTTGGCTATTGTGAATACTGTTGCTATGAACATAATAGTGCATTTACCTTTTTGAATTATAGTTTTGTCCAGACCCATTACTTTCTAAGTGGTGATTTCTTTCTGATCTTTATGGAATGAAACACTCTCCTAAAAGATTTCATGCTCTAGATATCCATTTCCTCCTTTCCCCACCCCCACATATACTCATACTCTTCCCACATTCTCAGTGAACTGGTGTTATGAATCCTTGTATTGTTGTTGGACAAATCCATGCCCATCAGAAATATAAACACAAAGACTGATATTTTTATAATCACAATAAAAATTAGTTAAAAATAAAAGTAATCTATTATGAATGGTTTTCATAGCTTTCAAATTTCACTTCTAGACATCTAAAATTTTTGTATTTAACCATTTGTTTGAATAATCCAAGGTTGATGAAAATCCTTAAGTTACAAGTCTCAAAACAGACTGATTTAGCTCTGTAGTTTGCTTTCTCCTTGTGTTCCAGAGCCATCCAAGTTAATTCCATGTGCCTGTGGTCAGTGAGACTCTGGAGGTTGTCTTGACTGAAATATGAGAGAAGTGCCCTGGGAAGAATTTTGAGAATCTGCTAGGGCAGTGTTCTCCACACTTCCTGGATCATGTATCCCATGAGTAAAAGCTATGTGAGCACACTCCCTCATAGATATAATTTTAAATTTATAAATTATATACATATCAATCTGTATTTATATATTATGCATATTATAAAAGATATGCAGTCTATGGATAGAAAACAGTGAGATGAAATAAAATATTAAAAAAATAAAATTTAACACTACATTTATTTTTGGTACACCAAACCTTTTATCCTCAAATTATAGAGATTTATATTGATGTCTAGACAGTTGGTTTACAAATGCCTTGCAAATTAAACTGGCATCATACTATCATTTGCTAATATTGAAAAGTATAACATACACTTAGGGCTAGGTTCACTGTTTATAATAATGATGTATGTCCATATTTCCATTGATATTTTTGAAAATTTTAATTTTTTTTGGCCTACATCTTGGCAGAACTGATTGGATCACCACTAATTTTGTCTCTTAGTGTAGCTGAAAAAGAGCTCCTTCAAGGAATAGAGGAGATATCATTCTGTGTTTTTTTAAAAAAATTATTCTTGCATTATAAATATTATCATCAATCCAAAGTTTCTTTTCAGGAGACTATTTCTTTTTTCCTTTTTAAAAAAATTTTTATTGAAATATAGTTGATTTACAATATTGTGTTAGTTTTAGGTGTACAGCAAAGTGATTCAGATACAAACACACACACATACACACACGCACACAAGCACACACATATGTATTCTTTTTTAGATTCTTTTCCATTATAGGTTATTACAAAATATTGAGTATAGTTCCCTGTGCTATACAGTATGTCCTTGTTGTTTACTATTTTATATATAGAAGTGTGTATATGTTAATCCCAAACTCCTAGTTCATGACCCCCAACTTTTCCCCTTTGGTAACCATAAGTTTGTTTTCTATGTCTGTGAGTCTATTTCTGCTGTGTAAATAAGTTCATTTGTATCATTTTTCAGATTCCACAGGTAAGTGATATCATATGATATTTGTCTTTCTCTGTCTGGCTTACTACACTTAGTATGATAATCTCTAGGTTCATCCATGTTGTTGCAGATGGCATTATTTCATTCTTTGTTATGGCTGAGTAGTATTCCATTGTGTATATATAACACATCATTCTTTTTTTTGAACAAATGCTTTTTATTTTTTAAATTAATTTTTATTGGAGTATAGTTGATTTACAATGTTGTGTTAGTTTCTGCTCCACAGCAAAGTGGAATCAGTTATACATATACAGATACCCACTCTCTTTTAGATTCTTTTCCCATATAGGTCATTACAAAGTATAGAGTAGAGTTCCCTGTGCTATACAGTAGGTTCTTATCAGTTATCTATTTTATATATAGTAGTGTGTATATGTCAATCCCAATCTCCCAATTTATCCTACCTGCCTTTTCCCCTTGGTAACTATAAGTTTCTTTTCTACATCTGTGACTCTATTTTGTAAAAAAGTTCATTTGTACCATTTTTTTAGATTCCACATATAAGCAATATCATATGATATTTGTCTTTCTCTGTCTGGCATACTTCACTCAATACGACAATCTCTAGATCCATCCATGTGGCTGCAAATGGCATTATTTTGTTCTTTTTTATGGCTGAGTAATATTTCTTTTCAGAAAACTTTTAAAGCATTGGTCCACTAGTAAGTGTCAATTTAGTTAAACCAAATGATATAATCTATAAATCCTCTTAACCACCCAAAGAAAACAGCAATATGTTGTGAAACTCAGACAACACAAGAGCAAACATGCTATTACTATCCCTCAACAGAGTGCAGACTGAAATATCAACTGAGTGAGGGCACCTGTCTACTAAATATTAGTAAAGTGCAATTTCTTTTTTATTTTTAAAGATAGAAATATATATATATATATATTTATTTATTTATTTATTTATTTATTTATTTTCCACCCAGAGCTGTGTATACCCCAGTTTGGAGACCACTGTACTGGATCTCTTGGGGTTCATCCAAGTCCCTAGTGAGACCTGGGCCAGGATGGGTTATGCAGAGGGGGCACAAGAATGTAAACAGATACCCCTGCTACAACCAAAGAGCTCCAATTTCATTTATATTATATTTTATACATTAAGCTTTCTAATAAATTTTCCTTAGAATAAATGATTACATAGCTAAGGCACATTTGAAACTTTCTTCTGGAGAAACCTAGAAGTCCATGACCCATAGTTCTGACAAATGTTTGAAACTGAACACTGAACAGTAAAGTTGTAAAAATAGTCTTTTACTAAAGAGCTAAATATACTGGTTTTTTAAGTTCCTGGGTTTTATGTTTGTTTTATTTTTCTTACATGTAAAATCACAGCCTTAGAACTAAAAGAGAAAATACTTTTAGCCAAACATGCTATGAAAAGTTTTGAATGTAATTAAATGCTAAGTAAAGCATTAGTTACAAAATGCATTAAAATTTTTTTCTTAACTGAGACATTAAAAAAAGTTAAAAGTTTTGAATATTTTGGAAACATCATATTAAAGCAAAGCTTAAAAAAGGATATGGTTCTTTCAATATTTCAGTGAGTTTAATCTTGACTTGTCCAGGGGCTTTGGAAATACCAGCTAGTTCATGCATCTTAAGATAATATAAAATCAGTGGACTCTGACCTCCAAAATTGAAGAGAACACGCTTAAACTCTGGGCCACTACTGCTATAATGGGACTGTAAGGGGTAGGAAAAAAATGAATCAATTATTACTTTTGTGTATTTTTAAAGAACTGTAAATAAAATATAACTGCATTATAACCATAAATACAATTATTATCTGGTATATTAAAACAAATAAAGGGAAATTCTGCAAGGCATCTTAATTAATTTACTAAAGTATGAGACTATGAGTATGTGCCGTACAGCTCTGCTAGTCTTTTAGCATGAAGACAGGCCAATAGAGATCATTCTATCTGAAGAACAGAAAGAGAAAAGAATGAGCAGAGCCCCAGAAAAAGGGGCAGGAAAAAATATGAAGAAATAATGACTGAAACTTTGCAAGTTTTATGAAAAACACATCCAAGAAGCTTACCTCCAAGTAGGATAAATTCACATCTAGATGCGTCATAGTCAAAGTGTTGAAAGACGAAGACAAAAAGAAAAATCTCAAAAGCGGCAAGAGAAAAACAACATATAAGAGAACCCCAATAAGGTTAACAAGGTGACTTCTCATCAGAACAAAGAGGCTAGAAGCCCATCACAGTGCTGATGAAAGAAACTTTGACCACGAATTCTGTGTCAAGGAAACCATCACCATAATTATAATTGCTCCAATATTCTACTATTGACTTCTTGTGGGATGCAAGTATAGCAACTACTCATATGTTAACTCTTTCCTCAATTTTTATAACACCTAGATGAGAGATTTATTGTTGATTCCACTTCTTGTGGGGAAGTAAGATTTTATTCTCATTTGTTTTTACTGATATGTAAAATTCTCTTGTGTTTTGTTTGCTTATGGTCAATTTTTCATTGTATTCATTCATAGCTGCTCCAAAATTATTTCAAATAGTGGTAATATTGTAATCAAAAGCAGTTCTTTGATGGTGAAAACGATGTCAATATCAGCTGTTTTTTCTGTGATGTAAATCATTTACTTCACCATAGTCTCCCATGACAATTCACATCAGGTTATACCTAGCCTGATCTTAAAACTTGCATGCAAAACCACACCGAGCATTTTCCTGGCTTTTGCCTGGTGTATTATAAGATAGAAACTCTATCTTACTGAAGTTTTAGAAACAGACATTCCTGTTCTTTTTCTGCAGTTACCAGTTTTTAAACTAAGAAAACCACAGTACACAGATCCTTCTTCCTCTATGAGAAACTATGATTTTTTTTAAGCGTAGTTCAATCAGGCGAGAGCAGATTGAAAGCAGGGCTCCAGAATGAATGTAATACACAATTATTGTCTAATCAGCACAGAGTAGATTCCACATGTTTAAACAGCCCATGAATACAGTAGATTTTGGGGTCAACAACGTTCTACTTTTGACATATACAGAGCTTACTGTTAAAAGCGATTCCCAAATCTTTTCAGAGGCCTCCAAGGCAAGGCTTTATTAACCTGTACTTATGCAGTTGTAATTCTGGACCTCTATACTTTTTCCACAGTAACAGTTTATCTTCTAAGATCAGGCCTGTTACCCCAGCCTGTTGTAAACTTTTGGTGTTCCACTATATTCATAATTCTTCCAGGTTTTATGACTTCTACATGGCTAATGAAAAATGGCAACCATATTTTTATCAAAGTTGTTGATAAAATATTGTGCATGAGACAGGGCTAATGATGCAGCAATACAGTGTACTACCAAAGACATATCTGCAATTTGCTTTCTATCTTTTAACAGTGATATCTGAGAAAAGTTATTGTCAGTTACAAATCCATCTGTCCATATTTCTTCAACTTGTAAACAAACTATTAAAGACCATTTTTAGTGCTTGCTGAAGATCAGATATACAATTTCTGTTACATTTCCTTGATTTCTAAATTTAGCAATCAAGGAAAAGTAATAGAATGCACTCCCCTGCCTCCCGCCCCCTGCAGCCAAGATGGTGCAATATTGCCATCTACCCCAAATGGACTCCTAGAGTCGCCAATTTCTATCCTAAGTATGGACATCCTTGGCAGCACTGTGAAGGTTGGAAGATATTCTATATACCTGGATTATTAAAGACCAGGAAATATATGAATACTGACTTTCAGAAAGTGGTTTTTGTATAGGCATAATTTAAAATTTAAAATAACGGTCAGACCTGACTAGATAATTCAGACAAAATTTTAACAAAAAAGACTGCAACAGATTTAAAACCCAATTGGCTAACAAGTTAAGAGATCAAATTCAGAAGTTCAAGTCAACGGTCTCATCAAATCTTGGCTAAAGCAACACAAGGTGGCAAATCCATAGGTTCTCTGTTTGGGAGGCACCTTCAAAAATGTGGAGAAAGCAAGTATTCAAGACTTAAGATCAACAGTACCTATATATGGTCATTTATTCTGGGACCATGGTTTAAGGGGTGGGGACAGGTCAACCACTGTTGAAAATGCCATTGAAGTTTTCTCTGCACTTTGATGCTTATTGAGATCAGAGCCATGTCTGTATGTCAATCCAAAGAGAAGCAGTGCCCGAAGTATGAGGAAAAGATAAACGCTATTCGTTTTCCTTAGAGATGAGGATAGTTTCAGAAATAAATATGACTTTAATATTAAGATTAACCTCTCCAATAAATCTCTTCTGATTATTAATTTTTTTCTAAAATATATATCAAGAGCATAATAACCAATATTGTCCATGTGAAACCTGTTCAATTAATTATATTGGAAATTAAAGAAGGACATTTTTTATAATTATTATACTCCAAACCTTTGTTGGTAGTCCTGATAATCTTGATTCTTCCTTGGATGCAGGCATTGTATATCCTTCTGGATTCTTTAAAATTTTTGTCATATTGAAGTCTATATCTAAAACAGAAAATAAAATATTTTCTTAAATTCTTTCTTTCTTCACAAAAGGCATGATACCCCTTCTTTTTCCTAGCAATGCACCTTAAACATGCAGAGAGGTAAAAATGTATGAGAGACGGTTAGGATATTGTTATAGCTTGCCTCAGTCAGAGGAAATGAATATTCCATCTCATTTTACCTAACAGGGCTTTAGAGTTTTCAAATTCATTCATGTACACTATTTCACATCATCCTCACAAACCATTTTATGAGCTAAGTAACATTTCCCACAATTTATAGATTAGAAAACTAAAGTTAAGGAAACTCTATGACTTTTTCTAAGAGTAAGTCTTGCTCTAAGGTGATAGTTGTTCACATCTATGAATCTAATAAAAACCACTGAATTGTATTCTTTAAATGGGTGAATTGTATGGTATATGAACTATATCAATAAAGCTGTAATTAAAAAAAAACAACAGTACAGGAAGAGAATGCAGACCTAGGTCTTTTGCTTCTAATTTCAGAGCTCTTTCCTTGACCCTCTAGTTAAATGCAATAGGAGGCTTAGGTCTCTGCATGCTAGAGTCTACCTTTTCCATATACTGAAACATACCTAGATAAGGAAAGACTTGGTAATTTTTCAGTGCAACCAGCGTAAATATGCATGAGGCTACCCAGGGAGTCTTGTCTTAAAGGAGAACTATCTGATTTAATCAGCCATGTCAGTCAGCCTAAAAGCATATGCTAATTATTAAGGATATCTTAATGTAGAGCAGAGAAAACAGGTAAGCTGAGAAGTTTGTACTAGATTCTGGCACTGACAATTATTACCAGTTACCAGGTAGACAAATCAGATCTACAGATTGTGATGTTGATGACAAAGCTAGAAGAGTTGAAGAAAGTCACTTGAATTGATTTTTGACATTACCCATTAAAAGATATTAGATACTAGCTTGAAATACTGGAGGCAAGTAGGCATTTATCTCTGGCAGAGATTAAAGAACTAGTTAGCAAGGAATCTGTATTCTAAAATTTTGAGTGGAACCAAAGTTAGATTAAGTTGGGAGTTAGAATGGGCAAGAAAGGTAATGAACCATATAATTTCTCTACTTTAAAACTTGCTCAAAAGCATACAACCCATTATGGAGAAGAATCTGACAATATCTACCAATAATACAGATATTTTTCTTTGACTCAGCAATCCCTCTCCTGAGAATATATTCTACACAATCTTCTACATAAGCACAAAAAATATAGGTACAGGGTTAATGATTATAGCATAATATGTAAACTTTAGAGATTATAAACAACCTGTGCATTTAGCAGTCAGGTACTGGTTGAAAAAACTAGGGCACTCCTATTTAATGGAATACTATAAGCTGTAAAAAAAAAAAAATGAGCAAGATCTCCATACAGATGTGAAGATATCAACAGGTCATCTATTAAAGTGAGGAAAGCAAGTTGCAGAACAGTGAAGAGAGCATATTACTTGATTGAATGTATACAATATATAAAATATACTACTCAGTGTAAACGGGAAAGAATGTATACAATGTATACAATATACTACATTCAGTGTAAAAGGGAAAGAATAAGAAGAATCAAATATCTATTGTATTTTCCTTCATTTGTATAAAGAAACACTGAAAAGATAAATAAGAAATGGATAAAAATATTCCTTTTGGGAGGAATGATTAAAAATAAAACATGCTCAATTTTGAATCATTCTTAAATACATATTTAGGTGCTATTACTTAACTTCTAGTCGTTATGAACAGATATGTTACTAATGACAAAAGGACCTCTACATGTCTACCATACCCACAATAAAAGCCTTAGAAGATTGCTTGAACTTTGTTGTAAAATTACTGCCAACAGATTAATATCAGGCAAATATTCTAGACTTGGAGTAACAGCAATAGACATAAAAAGTAAGAGATTAATGAAAAACACAAAGCAAAGAAAGTTTAGAAGTAAAAGAGTCAAAGAAAAATATCATATGTAAAGGAAAAACCCCACCCTGATATGATAAGAGTAATAAGTAATCTTAAAATCACTGAATTTACTAGCTTTTATCCCCCTGCATTCCTCTAATCTGTTGATTTGTTTTAGGTAAAAATATCAATTTTGTCCCTGATTATAGTTTTTATATCCCCTCTGTTCTCAGCATCTCTGAATGCTAGGGAAGGTCACCGGGAACACCAATATTGACTCTACTTGATAAAACTATGAGAAAGTATGTCTCAACTGTTCTTATTAAGTCTTTAGAAATTTCACTAGTGACAAAATATTACAGTCTTACTACACCGACGCTGGGAAAATTTCATTTTCATAATTACCCCCTTTTTATTTTAGGGATATTAAATCTCTTAAAAGGGAGACACTTATGCAAGTAAGTATGGTTACCTTTATCCACTTTTGTAGTTTTTATTCTAATAATCTTTCTGAGATGCGAATAACTCATATATCTTAGCAAAATTAAACTTCATGCAGGCCATATATAATATTATATATCAATAAACTACAGAAACAGAAAAAATGTTAATTAGTTAAAAAATTAAATTAAAAAAAAAAGATGCTCACTGAGGTCAGGAGAACAATGCATGAACAGAATGATAGCTTCA